CTGGTATGAGGCACAGAGCTGGTTCAGTTCCTACTCCAGCTAAGTTATAGAGTCTTACAGCACGGAAAGAGACCCTTTGGTCCAACTAGTCCCATTTACCTGCGTTCGGTCCATATCCCACTAAACCATTCCCATTCATGTTCCTATCCAAACTTCTTTTAAATGTTATAACTGTTGCTGCATCTACTACTTCCTTTGGTGGTTCATTCCACACACGAACCACCCACTGTGTGAAAAAGTTGTCCCTCAGGTCCCTTTCGAATCTCTCCCCTCTCACCTTCCTCTCAGAATCTCCTCCAATAACTCGCTCACCACTGATGTCAGACTCTCAGCTGCATTGTTCCCAGGCTTCTCCTCATAGCCTTGCCTAAATAAAGGCACATTAGCCATCCTCCAGTGCTCCGGCACCTCACCCATAGCTGTAGATGATACAAATATCTCTGCTGGGGCCCCGCAATTTCTTCCCTAACTTCCCACAACGATCTGGGATACCCTTGATCAGGTTTCGGAGATCTATCCACCTTTTATGTTTTTTTAGCACGCTCTTTTCTGTAATATGGACTGTTTCAACACATCAGTATTTATTTCTCCAAGTTCCCTCGTCTCCACAGTAAAAACTAATGCGAAATCTCTAAGAGGCCCTCTTTGTTCTTTTGCTCGTAATGTACTTGTAGAATCTCTTTGGATTATCCTTCAGCTTATCTGCCAAGGCTATCTCATATCCCCTTTTTGCTGTCTTGCTTTCTGTCTTAAGAAAGCCCCAACATCCCTTATACACTTCCAGAGATTCACTTGATCCCAATTGTCCATTCCTAATACATGACTCCTTCTTATTCTTGACTGGAGCCTCAATATATTTATTTATCCATTGTTTCCCTAATCCTACCTGCCTGACCCTTCACAGGAACATAATGCCTCTGAACTCTCCTCATCACACTTTTGAAATCCTCCCACTTGTCAGTCGTCCCTTTACCTGCGAACAGGCTACTCCAAGCACCTTTTGAAAGTTTCTGCCTCACAGCATCTAAATTTGTCTTAACTCCAATTAAAACTTTAACTTTTACACAAGTCCTATCCTTTTCCATAGCTATTTTAAAAAGGATTAGAATTATGATCGCTGGGCCCAAGGTGCTCCCCCACTGACACCTCAGTCACTTGCCCTGCCTTATTTCCGAAGAGGAGGTCAAGATTTGCACAGTGACCCGCGTGTTAAACCACCACCAACTGGTTGTCCTTCCTTAATGAGAGAGCAGCCATAGGGTCATACAACACAGAAACAGACCCTTCGGTTCCAAGTTGTCCATACCGATCAGATACCCTAAATTGACCTACTCACATCTGCCATCATTTGGCCCGTATCCCTCTAAGCTCTTCCTATTCATGTCCCCATCCAGATGCCTTTTTAGATGTTGTAATTATACCAGCCTCCACCCACTTCCTCTGGCAGCTCGTTCCATTCACACGTCACCCTCTGCATGCAAAGGTTGCCCCTCAGGTCCCTTTAAATCTTTCCCCTATGCTGGAGGAAAAGAGCTTGACTATTCACCCTATCCATGTCCTTCATGATTTTATAAACCTCTGAGGTCACCCTTCAGCTTCCCACGCTCCAGGGAAAATAGCCCCAGCCTATCCAGCTTCTCCTTGTAGCTCAAACCCTCCAATCTTGGCAACATCCTTGTAAATCTTTTCTGAACCCTTTCGACATTTAACACCATCTTTCTCTGATTGAACAAGGCTGGGGTTGTGTTCCTTAGACCAGAGAGGGCTGAGAAGGTAGCTGGCAGGGTGTGGGGGACCTTATTGAGAAGTGCAAAGCGCTGAGGGGTATATATGCGGTAGATGGGGACAAGCACTTGCCCCTCAGCAGAAGGAGAGTGGACACTAATCCAAAGGAATGGCACAGCCTTGAGGGTAAGGGGCAGGGGGTTTGAAAGTGATTGAAATGTTGAGGGAAACGAACTACAATTCCCATGGTGCATGGCGCGATGACGCAACGGTCTGACCAATGGGCAAACGCAACGTTCCCGTCGGTGTCGAAGAGAACTACACCTCCCGTCAGGCGTTGCGCGGGAACGTCAGCGCGCCGGCCAACGTCAGGACGCTGGCACCACCCCCCCAAAAACCACACGCAGAGGAAAGTGATGGCGGCGATGACACCGACTTGGGACTCCCGGCTTCGTTGGCTGGCCTGCGGCCTCGGCCTGGCCCTGTCACTCTACGCCTACCACGTCGAGACATCCAAGGAACGGGACGCGGCATACCGGGCCATGTGCGACCTCAGCGAATCCGTCAGCTGCTCCAAAGTCTTCACCTCCCGGTGAGCACCGGCGCCGCAGGTGGTGGGCGGGTTTAGGAACCCGGTTGGTCGAGCCGGCCGTCCGTCATACGTGCCCCCGACAGTCTATTGGACAGAATGGCTATCCGTCACCGTCCCTCCCTAGCATTGGGCAGCGTAGGTATCTGTCAGTTCTGACCCCGCCCCTCAGCTATCCCATTGGTTGTCCTCACACTCGGTTCTGCCCCCACTTGTCGATTGGTCGATGCTGTTGTCTATCAGCTACAATCCCGCCTCTCTAGCTCTGCCATTGGTCTTCACTGCACGCCCTCCAACCTGGATCCATCCCCTCTTCCTTCATTGGTCGGCATGCATCCACCGTCCGACTAACGTCCCTCCCACTGCCTTTTGGCGTCATCGAGCGCCCGTCATACGACGCTCTGCGGTTGGCCAGCGCTCCCGTCAGTCACTGCCGCCTCCCGCCCACGGGCCGGAGCACGGCCGTGCCCGATTGGCTCGCCGCGTCGCCCTCCCGCCTGCCGCTCCCACGTGGGGCAGCGGCGCCTCCGACCCTCCCCTTTCCATTGGCCAGCCCCGCTGCCCGTCAGGCGAACTCGGGACGCTATTGGACGGTCCGTGCTCAAGGCCGCGGCCATTCGCGGACCACAAGGGTTCGGCCACGTTGCCTTTCCATGGCCACGCCCACCCGAGCCAGTTCATCAAGTCAGGTCCAAAAGTACAGGGACCCTCCCCTCCTCCCAGGTTATAGTGCAACAGGTTTATGTGAAATGCACCAACTTCTTGAGCCCTGCTCCTTCTCTAGTAGGTGTGGGTGAGAGGGGCAGTGTCGGAAGGAGAATTTAGAAGCAACAGGGTCATGGGACTGATGCGAACATATGGAATGAACCTAAGGGTCAACCTCTTTCTCTCTTCCCCCTCACTGACACCCCAAGGGTCTCCAAAATACCAAACGAACCCGTCGCACGATGACATGTCCCATCAATTTGTGTCCCTGCAGGCCTCTTGCGCTGGGAGCCATTCCTCTGCCCGGTCGTGGGGCCGCGCACACACACGCACTGAGAGACACAGGCTAATACAGTTTCACACACTCTCAGACACAGGCTAACACACAGTCACTCGCACGTTTACACGAACAGGCCCAACCCCACCCTCCAGGCAGAGTGGGCTGGCGGCCCACCCAAACATCCAGCCGGTGTTTACCTACCACCTCCTCCCCGAGCTCCCTCGGTGTGGAGGGAAGGCTGGCGAATGGGACACTCCGCCCAGTGGGCGTGGGCGCTGGCGCTGACGGTGCCTCTTTCCTCTTGTAGGTGGGGCCGGGGTT